TTGGGACGGCACCTCTGCCACCCCCAGAGGGTTTATGTAAGCGCAGCCCCTTCCCTGGCCATGGCCGCCGGGCCTCGGGCCCTGCCCGGCCTTCCCACGGCCCCTTACCCCAGTGGCGGGCCTGGTCGAGGCCCACTCCCTATGGCAACTGGACCAAGACTGTGGGTCGGTGCCACCTAACGGTGGCCCTGTGGAAGCAGAATTGCAGGCCCCCAGCCCGCTTGTCTTGGTGAGGTCTTGGACCACCCCTGAGCGCTGGGCTCCCCACCTCAGCACCAGGAGACCCTGGGCCTATGAGAGAGGTGTTAGATAAAATTACACTCCAGGAGGAGCCATGTGGATACATGGCTAGAGGGCCTGTCTGCCCCTGGACACCTTCTGGACCAGAGCCTGTGTGGAGCTGCCACAGTGGGAGGTAGAGGGGAAGGAAGGGGACTGGGCACCTGCCTGGTTTTGGAGGAGGGGTTAGGCCTTGGCCAATGCTGAAGGGCCTGAGAAGGGGAAGTGGGCACTCAGAGATCTGCTGGGGAGGGGTCTTATACCCCTGGAGTTTCAGTAGGTAAGGAGAGTCTCGCACCCGTCACCCCAGAAGGAGAGAAGGCCTTGCTATCGGAGCCTCAAGGAGCCCGTTGCCCAGTGGCCACTCCTTCAGCCCCTCCCCGTCTCTGCACAGGAAGCCTCCCCTCTATGGAGAGAGCAGATGGTGGATGCCACCTCACTTGCCCCCTCCATCAGGCCCCTCCCCACACCCATTGCCTCCCAGGGCCTAGTGACCAGAGTCAGCTCAGGCCTTTCTGATGCCAGGCAGGGTACAGGGCCCCTTCTTCCACCCAACTACTTTGAGGGCTGCTGGATAGCAGCCTGGGCACAGAAGGCCTGGGCTGGGCTGGACCTGAGAGGTTTGGGGTCTCACAGGCCAGAGCAGAGGCCTGAAAAGAGACCCATTGGCTCAGCAGGAGGTGGCCACAGGGGTGGACCAGAGCTGTCTGGAGAGGAGGGAAAGTCAAGCCCCAGTCATAAACATGGGCAGTGCAGGGCAGGCTGTTTAGGCCCCAGGTAACCCCAGGTCTCAGCTGCCCCAGTGCCTGCCCCCTTCACTACCTGGTTCCCCCCACCTTAACTAACCCTCACTTTGGGCCAGGTGTATGAGCACTTCTAACAGTGGGGGGGTTCATGGGACAGGCACCACCCTCCAGTTCATGCCCACTTCCAGACCACTTGAGCAAGTCCTATCTTCTACTGATGAGAAGGAAACAAGTGGCCCTGGGGTGGGTGGAACTTGGGGCCCTCAAGATAGCTGGGCCCAGGCCCAGGAAGGCCTGCACTGCTGAAGTCCAGGGAGACATCTCATCCCGATGTCGGGGAAGGGGCTCCTTGGCTGGCACTGTGCCGCTGCCTGAAGCCCTGTCTCATCTCACATGGGAGGTCACTGCTGTGTCTCAGAGGCTGGCATGAGGGAGGAGTGGAGGTGGCAGTGAAGGAAGGTCTGTGAGGTCAGTGGGTGGCTCGGAACCTTCCCCACAAGTGGACTGGAGGAGCTTCAACCAGACCAGCTTCCCAAGGTGGACTCAGGCCACCTTCGCCCACTTAGCAAGAAAGTAAGGGAGGGATCGAGGCAACCGCCCAAAGCAGCAGGCACTAGATGCCCCAGGACTGGGTTCTGGAGGGCTCAGGTCCTTCAGAGCAGAGGAGCTGAGACGAGGCCTGGAACCCAGTGTCCACTCCCCAAGGTATCCCGTCCTAAATGGCTGATCTGCCCCCTGCGTTTGGCCAAATGACTGCTGGAGCATGAACTTAGGTCTCTCTCTTGAGGCCATGTGCTCCCTTCCCAGAGCTCCCTTCCCAGGGCATGGGTGGGGCATTCTGCACCCCAGAAGCATTTCTGAGCTGAGGGAAGGAAGGGAGTGCTACTGCTAGGACATGTGCAAAGTGGCAGGAATGTGAATGTGCCTGAGTCACGGGGCTTGTCATGGAGTGTGTCAGCCCGCGCCATGTCCCCAATCCCAAGCTTCCCTGGTTATCACCTAAACACCTTGGGCTGCCACCACAACTTGATCTATGTGAGTCTTTCTGACTCCCTTGTTCTGCCCAGCTCCATGGACCTCAGCAGGCAGGGAGAATTGGTCAGTGCAGGTTTTACTGGGTGCCGGCCTCCCAGCATCCAGGGCAGGCTGTGTCAGATGGGGACATCAGAGATGGGGGAAGAGACCTCCAAGGTAGGGACCATGAGAGGCAGAGGTTTTCCTGGGAATAAGCAGTCCGAAAGAAGTGTCCCAGTGGTGGCCATGCAGCTTGCAGCCTCTGGAAGGAGAGCAGGGGTGAAAAGTACAATTGTGGCAGAGACCACCAGCCCAGGGTTCGAGGCTGGGAAGGCACAGAGAATAGAAGAAGCAGAACAGGACAGAGAAAGGAGGCCACAGGAGGTCCGCCTAGCCACAGGCGGGTCAGCTGGGGGCTCTGGGTTACTATCTGAACCAATGTGCCTGGCCTGGGCTTTGGGAATCAGACAGTGGGGGGTCTTGGGGGTCAAATCCCAGTTTTGCGCGACTTCTGAAATTTCACTCTCGGCCCTACTTTCTCCACTATGGTCAGGTAGTGTATGAAGAGCTCAGACCAGCAGTGAGAAGTGGAGTGCTGGGAAGGACAGGACCCCCCACTTCCCTCCCTCTGGTAGTGCCTGTCCCCTTCCCTTCAGGTCTGGCCAGATTATGGGGTACAGGCAGCCAGCTTCCTTAACCCTGCAGCTCCCAAAGGGAGTCTCAACCAAAAAGGAGACATGAGCTGTCCTCTGCCCAAGGATCCGAATAACGACAAGGACCATGCCAAGCCCCAGAGTCTTGGAGGTGGTCTCAGAGACTCTGGCACCAACCCAACTCCAGTGGCCTCCCTGTAGACACTGGCCTCTGTCACAACCAGGATTATCGAATTGAGCTACAGCTTTCCCACTGACAGCCCTTCTTATAATCTGACTTGCCCTATCAAGACTATGGGCCTCAGGCATGACTCTGCTAACTGGACTGCCATTCCTCATTCATTTATTCATTCAGTTCTGGTAGCACTGAGAGGCCCCTACACCATAGTGCCAGATGTCCTCAAGGAGCCCCCAGCAAAGGGAAGAGGCTGACAGACGGTGATGATAGCCCAACTGAAGACTGAAACCCTGGAGTTCCTTTCTCAGTGCTGGGAGTTCCACGGGGTGAAGCAGGGGTGGCACTCATACCAAAGGATGGAGGAGAAGGAGCTTGGAGGGTTAAGAAGCAGGGAGGCCTTCTGAGCAAGCAGCGGGGCCAGCATGTGCCCAGGCAGAGATGGGGAGGAGAGGAAAAATGCAGGAAAGGAGTCAGCTGGTGGGGGGAGGGGGAGGACCAGAGATGAGGCCGTAAGGCGGACTTGCTGGGTCCCAGGACCTAGTGATGACCTAAAGAAGAATCAGTTTCTTATGAAGCCCCGGCACGGCCAACTACAGACTGTCAGCCTGGAAGTCACCAAGTTCTGGAGTCCTCCTAGGAGCCCCCATGACCCTACTATGCTCCCTAGGTCTACTCTGGCCCCCATGCTTCACAGTGAGTCTGCTGGGGAAACACAGGCTCTTCCAAGTGGTACCCTGATCCAGCACTGCTCTGGGTGATGTGGACAAGACAAAGTAGTGACTACCATCTCCCTCCTTCCCCTGGTGTGAGCTCAGGAGCCTTGAGTCCCTGCAGCCTATCCCGGGAGGGGACCTCCCTAGAATTCCACTTCACACTGAGGAACAACCCACCAGGTATGAGGCTGACAACAGTGCAAATGTGGCCATCTTTTTTAAAAGCCTATTTTCCCATAATTAGCTCCTGATGTTTATCCTTAAAGGGGGAGGCGGCCCCCAGTAGACTGGCAGCTGCCCCTGTCCTCTCCTGGCAGGAAACTCCAAGCAGGTCCTCCAAGCCCTGCTGAGTGCAGTGGGGCAGTCATAAATTTCAGGAAGGTGGGGGCTGTGCAACCCATCTTATTTGGTGGGTGGGGCCAGGGCCAGGCAGAGGGGCCCTTGTCCCAGCTTCCCAGGGACATCTTGCCTAACTGACAGAAAGATCCATCTAACCATGAGCTTACCTTTCTCCCAAAGCCGTGACCTCTTGGTCAAGGTGTGACTGTTTCCAATTTTGAGCTACAGAGTGGGGAATTCTCAGACTGGGTCAGTGAGGCTGGAATGTGAGGAAAAGCTCCATGGAGTGCAGCGGGACCATGGACGAGGTTGGGGAACAGTAGGACTACTACTAAGGATGACACTTATCCAGAAGTGGAGGGTAGAGGGTGGGGAAGGCCGATTGACAGGCAGGGACATGTGCCTATGGCTAGGGACAGGGGTTTGGGATGAGGGACAGCCAGGCCTCAGACACTCTGTCCAGGCTGCTGAGGACCATCCTTGTTCTGCTCCCTCCTGTGGGCTTTCTCCCAGGTGCTGGCTTTTTTTCACAAGCTTGACCCTGAAGCCTGGGTGGTGGGGATGAAACTGTGGGCGTTTGCAAATGTGAGCTACAGTGGGGGAAGGAAAGGAAGCCTCGCAGGTGCCCGGGGCATCCACGTGCATCCCCCCAACTCAGGCGCTCCACGTGAACACCCATGGCTGGGAGCATTTTCAACCTAAATCGGCACTGCTCTTGAGTTATTTCTCCCGTGGTGCCGCCTCCGCCGCCTCTGCGGGATCTTACACGAGCGGGGCGGCTTCTCCCCTCTTCCCTGCATCCTCTCTGCTTCCAGGGCCCTCCCTGCTAATCTGAATTTGCCAAATCCGACCCCCACCCCACACCACACCACTAGCCGCTGTCCGCGGTGGAGGCTTGCCGGGCCTGGCCTCCGAGCACGCGCACAGCGACCCAGCGCGGGGACCCGGGGGCGGGGCGGGGGGGCGCTGTCCATGGTGCTGCGCTCCGGGCCGGCCGCGTCTGGTCTGTAGGAGGCTGCGGAGGCCGGGTGGGCCGCGCGCCTTGAGCCATGAAATCATGGCGCCCCGCTCCCGGGACACAGAAGGTATTTAAGCTGGGGCTGCCTCTCTGTATCAATCAACCCACAGGAGGGAGTTGCCAGGACAGCCTCTCTCATGGACATAGGAGTGGGTGCCAGTCGTGGGCTTCATCCTGTCCCTCCACGAGGCACTGTTGACCATGATGGTCCCCTCCTCCTGTATGGCATTAAGGGATCTAGGGCAGCCTTCATATCTGGCCACCCCCACCACTGTGGGTAAACTAACTCTCGGAGCCTCCTAATCTGAAAATAAGGGTAACATTAGTGGCCACCCTCCCACACCCCAGGGCTGCTGTGAGGTTGAAATCCATGATCATCCCAGTGGGCAGTTGGCAGATGGTATGGATGTCACTTATCAGCATGTGTGAGCTCATTAGCTACCTGGTCATGAGCTGTAGTGAGGGGGCAGCCAAGGTGTGGGAGCCTCCTCTGGGGAGGGAGGGCCCAAGGTGGACTGCTGGCCTAGGGGCTCATGGCTGCCAGGGCAGGAAGGCCCTTGGGCCAAAAGCTGGGTTGGCAGCCATGAGGGCCACGTGTCTCAAGTCTGCACTCCCCTCCCCAGATGTGGAATGCTGTCAAGGCTGTCCTGTTCAGGGCTTGGAAACAATGGAAGGTGTGTGGTGCTGGAAAGAGCAGGGCAAGACTGCCTGCCCTCTCACCTCCCTCCCTCCCTCTCAGTGGCTCCTGTCCTCTTCCACTCAGGTGGGCCATGGGGCTCAGAAGCAACACCCTCATCACTTTCTAGGTGCTCATTGCAAGCCATGCACTATGCTTAGCCCTTTATACATGCTGCCCCTTAGTGAGGGGATATCATCACCTCCTAGACTTTGAAGTGAGGAAAGTGAGGTTTGGAGAAGGGAATGCCTTGTCCAGGCCACTCAGCCAATGTGTGGCCTGTTTTCAGTCCAAGGTGTGTTACCTGGAGCCTGTGTAGGTAAGCACTGAGTGCACAGCTTTCTAGCTGTAGATTTGGTATGGGGTGGACCAGGAGATCTGGAATGTGGAGCAAAGGGTGGCACAGTGAGGGTCCCACTGTTTCTTCTTTCCAGGACTGTGTCGTGCCCAGTGCCCTTTGCCACCCATTCATAGCCTTGGCGGCCTAAGAAGGGGAGCCAGCGTGGTCTCAGCCCCACCCCGGGGGAACTCAGCCTTCCATAGTCAGCTCTGGTCCAACCCTCAGCTCCACCACTGATTATGAGCTCAGGCAAGCAATTCACATTGCCCCAGCCTTGGTTTCCTCATCTGGTCAATGGATACAGTCACTGTACCATCATCCTCAATGAATTAGGGGGTGGGTTAAAGAGATAGAATGTGTCCAGGGCTCACTGTGCTAGCATCACAGTAAGCACTAGGAAGACACCTGCACTTTTTTTGAGTAGATTCTGATCTATGGAACCTACTGTAACCACTGAGGTTCTCAGGGACTGCTGTGTGAGTCTCAGAGTACTGGAAACACACAAGAGAGCCATGCTGGGACCCCACAGTGGAAGGGCCAGAGACTGCCCCAAATCCGCTCCTCAGTTTCACAGCCTTGAGCGGTGGAAGCAGGCCTGGCAGGCACTGATGGTAGGCATCAGGGTAGCAGAGGTGAAAGGGAGCAGTCACAGGCTAGTGTCTCTCTCCATTTCTGTTTCTTATGTGTAAAACAGGAACCATAGTATCTAGGTGAGTGGGTGCAGATTGAGCTCGGTGCATACACTAGGTGCTCAGAGACTAGCCCTGTCCTGTTGCTGCTCAGTCAGGGAGGGAGGTTTGCACTTAGATCCTTTCTGTAGGGTGGTTTCTGGGAGTGCCGTGGGAGAGGATGCCCAGAGATTATAAGGGGCCCAGCTCTGTCCCGCCTTCCAGGAGGGAACATGGAACTCACTCCCAACTCTGGGCCCCTGTCTGCAGAGTAAGCGAGGAAGATGTCCAGTCCTGGAGTCAACGGCGACCCCAAGCCCCCATGCTTGCCTCGAAACGGTCTGGTGAAGCTGCCGGGCCAGCCCAACGGCCTGGGCACAGCCAGTATCACCAAGGGCACGCCAGCTGCCAAGAACCGCCCCTGCCAGCCACTGCCCCCGCCCACCCTCCCACCACCCAGCCTGGCTGCCCCAATGCCCCGGGCTGCCCTGGCTGGGGGCCTGTGTCCCCCAGCAGGGCTCCCCCTTGGGGGACCAGCCTCAGCCCCAGTACCCGGACCCCCAGTGGAGCGGCCACCACTGGCCACAGACGAAAAGATCCTCAATGGTCTCTTCTGGTACTTCTCGGCCTGCGAGAAGTGTGTGCTGGCCCAGGTGTGCAAGGCCTGGCGGCGCGTGCTCTACCAGCCCAAGTTCTGGGTGGGCCTCACACCTGTGCTGCATGCCAAGGAGCTCTACAATGTGCTGCCTGGTGGTGAGAAGGAGTTCGTGAACCTGCAGGGCTTTGCTGCACGTGGCTTTGAGGGTTTCTGCTTGGTTGGCGTTTCCGATCTGGACATCTGTGAGTTCATCGACAACTACGCCCTCTCCAAGAAGGGTGTCAAGGCTATAAGCCTCAAGCGCTCTACCATCACTGACGCTGGCCTGGAGGTGTGTCCCACCACTAGCTCAGAAAGGACAGGGATGGGGGGCAGGGCCAGATAGCAGTAAAGATGCAGGTGTGAGGGTTGGGGGAGGTGGGGAGTGGCCCCCAGAGGAAGCTCGGCACACAAAGGGAAATGTAGCTGAGGGCTGTGCCCATGCTCTTAGGGGGATTGTGGCTCTGGAGTGGGGAGAAGCAGAACTGGCTGCATAATTTGAGCAAGCCAGTCTAAGATGAAAATGATTTAAGAATTTCAAGATAAGGACAGCATAGCAGTTTGTTAAATGTGGGGCCTTTCTGAGCATAGGCCCTGGATGCAAGTGAAGCTGGCCTAGGGTGGGGAGGACACTGGAGGAGGTGGAGGTAGTAGGGGCCAAGGTTAGAGGAGCAGCTGTGCAGTTGGCCCGTTCTCCAGGACCTAGACTCTAATCATCCGATCATTAACACCAACTGCTTCAGGCACCTGCTCTAGCCAAGCCTTGGGCTCCAGGTTCCCCTATGCCTTGCCTCCTTAAGAATGTAGTTGAGGTGTAACAGACACACTGTAAAGTGCACTTGTCTAAGAGTATAGCTCAATGCATGTTTACACTCACCTACACTCTGGAGAACACCACTTCTTGCTCCATAGCAGGCTCCTTCTGCCCTATCTCCTACCTTGTTCACCACACCTTGCAAGGAGGGGCACATTCACAGAATCAAGGTAGGCTTTCACAGTGGAGGTAGTAGAGGTGAGGTCAGGCTTCCTGACCCTGAACCTGCTGGCCTACAGGTGATGCTGGAGCAGATGCAGGGCGTGGTGCGCCTCGAGCTGTCAGGCTGCAATGACTTCACTGAGGCGGGGCTGTGGTCCAGCCTGAGCGCACGCATCACCTCACTGAGTGTGAGTGACTGCATCAACGTGGCTGACGACGCCATTGCGGCCATATCACAGCTGCTGCCCAACCTGGCGGAGCTGAGCTTGCAGGCCTACCATGTGACGGACACGGCGCTGGCCTACTTCACGGCACGACAGGGCCACAGCACGCACACTCTGCGCCTGCTGTCCTGCTGGGAGATCACCAACCACGGCGTGGTCAATGTGGTGCACAGCCTGCCCAACCTCACTGTACTTAGCCTTTCCGGCTGCTCTAAGGTCACCGACGATGGTGTGGAGCTTGTGGCCGAGAATCTGCGCAAGCTGCGCAGCCTCGACCTCTCCTGGTGCCCGCGCATCACAGACATGGCTCTGGAGTATGTGGCCTGCGACCTGCACCGCCTTGAGGAGCTTGTGCTGGACAGGTGTGTGCATCCCTCATCCTCAAGCCATGGAGGGTGGGACCTGAGGCTGGCTGGACCTTCTAAGCAGTGAGCCTAGGCTAGTGGAGAGCCCTGTAGGTAGAGTGGGTAGGGAGCGGGTTGAGGGGCAGGGCTATAGAAAAGAAGGAGCTATTATGAGGAGGGCAGAAGATGAGTTCGTGCCAGGGACACTGGAGTTGGGGGGGAAGGAAGGGGTAGGAGCTGAGGGGCAGGGCGAGGTGTTCTGAAGGTGGGCAGCCCCCTTCTGTTGCAACCGCAGGTGTGTACGCATCACGGACACTGGCCTCAGCTATTTGTCCACCATGTCGTCCCTCCGCAGCCTCTACCTGAGATGGTGCTGCCAGGTACTGGCCCTCCACGCCTCTGGAGATTGGGGAGTAGTCTGGGGAGGTGGGGGGCGCTGGGAAAGCCCCCGCCCAGACAGTCCTCTGACCTGGTCCAGGCCCACTCAGATTCTTGTAAGGAAGTCTGGGATCCCTCCACACCCAGCAGCCGACATAAGCGGAGGGCGTGGAGTTCCCAGAGCCCTCACCAGCACTCCCCACCTGCCTCCTGGCTCCGTGGGGGAACGGAGAAACCTCCGTTTTGAACCCCGCTCCCTGCCCCTCCAGCAGCTCCAGGCCTGTGGCCTGACCCCAGGAGCGGGGCTCCTACAGGGCGCGAGGGAAATAGTTAACTCGCCCCGCCCTCCCGCCCAGGTGCAGGACTTCGGGCTGAAGCACCTCCTGGCCATGAGGAGTTTGCGTCTCCTGTCTCTGGCAGGTGAGACCCCCCGGCGCGCCCTGGACAGTGACCACACACCCACACACCTAGTCCGACTCCGCCAACCCTGCGGAGTCCCTTGTGCGGATTCACACCTGGGGCTGACTCGCTATCCCATGTCCAGGTCAGGAGGGAAAGGCCGGGTAGGCTCTAGCCTCCACCCTCCGGGCCCCTCCGCCCCTCATCGAGCCATGGGGCCGCGCCCAGTCAACCACTTCTCTGCTCCCCCCACCTTCCCCCCCCACCCCCGCAGGCTGCCCGCTGCTGACCACCACCGGACTGTCGGGCCTGGTGCAGCTTCAGGAACTGGAGGAGCTGGAGCTGACCAACTGCCCCGGGGCCACCCCCGAGCTCTTCAAGTACTTCTCGCAGCATCTGCCCCGCTGCCTCGTCATCGAGTAGCGCGGAGCCTCCTCGCCCCCGTCGCAGGAACCCGCCACGCTCTGGGCGGAGACGCGGGGGCACCGCTGAGCCCCATCTCCTTGCCATGCCCTCAGGGGAGCCCCCACACCCAGCGCGGGAGCCGGGACAAACCGAGGGAAAGCTCCGCCCCGCTCCCCTCGGCCCCTCCGCTCCTTTCCTGGCCCCGCCCGGGCAGGAAGGGGCGGCGGGCGGGGCCAGCCCCACGCACGCACGCACGCACACTCGGGGATTTGTGCATGCCCCTCGTGCCCGTCCTGCACGCCCACCCTCTACCACGCCGCAGCCGCCTCCATCATTCGCCCGCCCGCTGGGGGTGGGAGGGCCAGGCCTGATCCTGGGGTGGGGAAGCATTTTAAGCTCGCCAGAGGGCCGTCCTTACAGCCTTCCTCGCCACACCCTACTGCCTCTCAGCTGTCCCCCTATCCCGGGCAGGGCCCAAGGGGATTGAGGGGGGCTGGGTCCCCCAGGACACAGTGGCCCAGAAGAGCCCCATGGGTTGCCCGCATCTTCCACCGCATCGCGCCTGGATTCCTCTGAGGGTTGCGAAGGGAAACAGGCCACCGCCAAAGCCATGGCCCGCTGAGGAGCCCAAGTCCCACTTGCCCTTCCCCCCACCTCATGCCAGCTTGACCCAAGCAACAGCAACCTCCCCTCTTGCCACTGTGTGAAGCAGTCCTGCTTGCCCCACCCCTACCCGCAGGCCTACAAGTCCTTGGGGCCCTGGCCAGGCTGGGGCAGAACTGGGTTGAGAAAGAGGCAGAGTGGATGACAATGACCTTGGTATAATCAAAATTAGCCCAGCCAGCAACAGTCCACCTCAACCCAGAGGTGGTACAGATAACTTGAGAGACCCCAAACTGGAGCAACCCTCAGGGCCTGCAGGCCTTGGGAGCAGTCCTGTGTGGACCATACACTGCAACCCCTGTAGCCAGCTGGGCCCAGGCCCCTCAATGCCAACCACACTTCACCCTGGGCAGGTTACTGTCAGGTGGAAGCCAGAAAAGTGGACCCCAGCCAAGGCTCAGGGTCAGCTCCAGCCAGCGACTGCTATCTTCCAAGTGGCCCACACATCCTCAGCACCCAGAGGAGGAAGGGCTCCTTTCTAGCTGCACCCCGACCCAAGCTTCCCAAACTTCTGCTTGCCCACATGGGCTCTGACTGTGTTCTGTCCAATCCCAAGACATTTGGAAGTCCTAGGGGATGCTGGCACATCTTGGCAATTGCTGAGGAGGGGGCTGGGACCCCTTTCCATTCCAACCTTGAACCCCAGGAGATACAACACCCACACCTAATCTTGGGACACCCCTGCCCCCATCTGGTTGGAAGAGAGTAACCAGTTTCCAGAGAGTGAGAGAGAAAGAGCGAGAGAGAAAGAGCGAGCAAGAGATGCTACTGAAGCAGAGAAACAGTTCAACAGCCCAAAGATCTCTCTGCCCCTGGAGTGCCAGCAGGAGGCTCCTGGGTTGAGGTGGTCAGGAGCCAGTTTCTTCAGCCCTTCTTCCCCACGGTTCCCTAGTGGGGAGGTAGCAGCTGTTCATTTGTCCAAAGTATTAATGCAACTGAAGCTGTGATATTTCCAACGACTGTAGGAGGAAAATTTAAGGGGAGAGAGGAAAACAAAACCAACCAACCCCTAAAATCATTTTCTTATTGTACATAACGACCTCATTCTCCTGTATATGCGGAAGATATAACCTTATATTTGGTAAGTGTTTCTTGTGCTATTTTATCACGTGACCCGTTTATAAAAATATATATTAAAAAAAGTTGTAAAAACACGTCTGAGGTGTTTTTAGATCATCAGACCATGGCGTGGGGAAAATATATCTGCCCTGAGGGGCTCAAGTTTCTGTATTCTTGTGCACCCCTCAACTCATCAAATTTGGTTGTTTCAACAAAAATGTAGGGGCCAGCTGCCACTGTGCCAGACTGGAAACCCAGCACTGACTAACAGAGAAGTTCCTTAAGCTCATTGCTTTAGTGGGGAGAGAAACAGACACTAAAGTCATTATATATAATAGTCCCTCCAAAATAGCCCATCCTTCCAGAAGGGCAAAAATGAGCCCTGTTACATGCACAGTGTAACTGAGGTTAAGAGAGGGGCAGGGATGTCCCAAAAGATCACACATTGCAGCAAAGACAAACCAGAACTCACACCCAGGAGTGAAAGAGAGGCTCAGAGAGGGTGACTGGGGTTGTGTGAACAAGCTGTGTCAGGCACTGAAGTTTGTGGAGACCAAGAAAGACGTGATCCCTGCCTGGTGGAGTTCACACTCGGGTGCGATGACCAGTAAACAAAGGAAAGGGTTGTGACGAGCGCTGTGAAGGTGACAGTGACTGGAGAGGCAACATTAGATGCAGGACACTTAAGCTGAACCCTCAAGGGTGAGGAGGCACGTTCTGGAGAGGAGAGAGACTAGCACCGGTGATGGCTGCGAAGCAGCAAAGAACTTGGCGAGCTGGAAGCCGCTGTGGGTGGAGGTGCGCCGGGAGAGCCAAAGGCCAGGAGTTTGGGATTTACCCACAACATGGTGAGGAGCTACGGGGGCACCTTAGTCTGCAGAGTGGTACCTGGCTGCTGTACGGGCTTCAAATGACGGAGAACGAGGGACAAGGGGAAAGCCGTTAGGAAAACCTGCTCCTGGGGTCCAAAGGAAGAGAATGAGGGAGGAGGAGACGATTGTAGGGATTCGGGACTCGTTTGGGGATGTATAGACTTGCTGACGGACCCTGGGTAAAGATAAGCACTGGTATTAAAATACTGCGAGGAAAAAAAAAAAAAAGCACTGAGACGGAATCGAGGGAGCCTCTCTAACTCAATCCTCAACCAAAATTCCACCTCCACTGGTGCAGTTCCCTCATCCGGAACTTTTGCAGTGTGGGTACTCGCTTCCGGCGAGGAGGAGACAAGAACAGTACTTCCGGCGAGGGGCGGGAAACAGACAGGCTGCTTCCGGCGCGGCCGTTCCGGCCCGCCCCGGCCGGAAAAATTTACTGTATTGTTCAGGTGCTCGCAAAAGGAGTGGATTCTTCGGTTCTTCTGGCTCTGTTCCCGCTGCCTCCGTTCCTCCACGCCACCTCAACCTCCGTGCTGCCGGCGTGTCCTGCCTCCTGTCCAGCCCCTCAGGCTCTGTTAACAGCTCAGTCTTTGAAGTTCCTCTGTGTCCCTCTAGCCCTTCTGGCCCATCCCCGGAGGCCCCGGAACCGACGATGTGGATGGTGGTAACCGCCTCACTTCCCTGCCGGGTTTGATTGACCAGTGAAGGTCTAGTGACCGCCCAAATCTGATTGGGGGAATGGAAATGTGGCCTGGGCTGGGACTGACCAGGTAGGGTCTCCCCCAGAAGACAGACATGGATCGGACTGACCAGCCTCAGGGCAGCTACGGCACCTTCTGACCACCCAGCCAGACTTGATTGACTAACGGTGGACTGCTCTGGACAGACTCACCAAGACTAACCCAGGCTTAACCAGTTTTGGGAGATCCAACCAGGGAGAAGGGTCTGAACTGACAGCCCCCTTCACCAGTTTACCAGGCCAGCCAACTTCACTGACCCGCTGTCCCCACCACCTGTGCAGCCATGGAGAAGATGTCCCGCGTGACCACAGCCCTTAGTGGCAGTGCGTTGACAGGCCACACCATGCACTGCCACCTGGACGCGCCAGCCAATGCCATCAGTGTGTGCCGAGATGCAGCCCAGGTGGTCGTGGCAGGCCGCAGTATTTTCAAGATCTATGCCATCGAGGAGGAGCAGTTTGTAGAGAAGCTGAACCTGCGTGTGGGCCGCAAACCCTCGCTCAACCTGAGCTGTGCTGATGTCGTCTGGCACCAGATGGATGAGAACCTATTGGCCACAGCAGCCACCAATGGTGTAGTGGTTACATGGAACCTGGGCCGGCCATCCCGCAATAAGCAGGACCAGCTGTTCACAGAGCATAAACGCACCGTGAACAAAGTATGCTTCCACCCCTCTGAGGCCCATGTGCTGCTCAGTGGCTCCCAGGATGGCTTTATGAAGTGCTTCGACCTCCGCAAGAAAGACTCTGTCAGCACATTCTCGGGTGAGCCCCTCAGAGGCAGGTTGGGCAGGTGTACATCTTTGCAGGCCGCTGGCCTGTCTGGGCAGGTTAAGAAGTGCTTCGTGCATTAGAGGCCCTCAGAAATACTCCCAGAGGGCTTCCTGGAGAAGGGGCCAGCTGAGCCGGACTCGAAGAGTGGGTGGGGGTCAGCAGGGGAGGGACAGTGGCAAATCTGGTTTAGGTGTGAGAGGCACGTAGAGTGTGGTTGCAGATCTGATGCACCTGTGGGGTCAGCAGGAGTCGAGGCTGAGTATGGGATGAGAGACAGGACAGAGCCTAAGCAGGCCCACAGCACACCTGTGTGGTTGAACAGAGAGTTGTTTCTCTGCCTCTTCTTCCCTTGCCTCAGAGCTCCAAGTTACCTCATTGCAGGAAGTCCACCAGGACCTCCAGAGTCCTCAGTCCAGGGATGCAGAGGAAGTGGGGTGCACTCCCTGGTCACCCCCATGATTCTTTTCTCAGCACCTCAGCTCACTGACAGTGCCTTTGAGCCAGCTCTCCCTTGTCCACTTTAGTGAAACTAAATGAAGACAACGCAGAGCCCTCAGAGGCCTTTGAAAATTGGGTGGCCTCCTAAGACAGACTCTGAGCTACCTGTGCTGGGGAAAAGCTGGACACTACTCTCAGAGGCTCTTGGTGTGGTAGTTTACGGAGGTAGACATGGACCCAAGGCCTCCAGTCCTCTGGGACTGACCCAGAGCTCCAGCTCAAGGTGAAGGGGCTGGGCAGAGGCTCGGGGATCCTCATCCATGCCTCCTTAAGGGGCCTCAAGACTCCCAAGGAAGTGTGGACAGGTAGCCCAGTAAGATTCTTATTCATCCAATGTTCTGATACTCAGTCCTGAAGCTGGGCCACAGCTATGTGCAAGGACTGACATCACACAAAGAATCCAGGGAAAATTGAGGTCCATGAGTTCATGTCAGAAACCACGCACTGCCTGGTATCCTGCTTCCTAGCCCTGGCTGTTGTGTTTGTTCTGTAAGACCTCTCCTTGCCCTGTTTGCCCTAGGCAGAGGGGATCCACAGCCACTCCGAGGGCTCTATTCTTGGCCAGTCTTCCTCCTGGAGCCCTCTCTGGGCTGCCTTCATCTTCTCTCTCCATCGACATCCTGTCCACAGGCCAGTCTGAGAGTGTGCGGGACGTCCAGTTCAGCATCCGGGACTACTTCACCTTTGCTTCCACCTTTGAGAATGGCAATGTGCAGCTCTGGGACATTCGGCGGCCTGACCGCTGTGAGAGGATGTTCACAGCCCACAATGGGCCTGTCTTCTGCTGTGACTGGCACCCTGAGGACAGGTATGGGGTGGGGTGGGTGCAGGGGCAGCTGGGAAGGATGGGTGGGGCTCACGGAAGGGCTTTCTCACTGCCTGTCTCACTTGTGAGACAGTGGGGAGCCCTCCCACCCCAGGAGAGGAAACTTGAGGACTTCATGGGCCTTCCGTAGGGGCTGGCTGGCCACAGGTGGGCGTGACAAGATGGTGAAGGTCTGGGACATGACCACACACCGTGCCAAGGAGGTGCACTGCGTTCAAACCATTGCCTCAGTGGCCAGAGTCAAGTGGCGGCCCGAGTGTCGCCACCACCTGGCCACATGCTCCATGATGGTGGACCACAACATCTACGTGTGGGATGTGCGCAGGCCCTTTGTGCCTGCAGCCATGTTTGAGGAGCACCGTGACGTCACAACAGGCATTGCCTGGCGCCATCCACACGACCCTTCCTTCCTGCTCTCTGGCTCAAAAGACAGCACGCTGTGCCAGCACTTGTTCCGTGATGCCAGCCAACCCGTTGAGCGTGCCAACCCCGAGGGCCTGTGCTATGGCCTCTTTGGGGACCTGGCCTTTGCCGCCAAGGAGAGCCTAGTGGCCACCGAATCAGGGCGCAAGCCCTATGCTGGTGATCGACGGCACCCCATCTTTTTCAAGCGGAAGCTGGACCCTGCTGAGCCCTTTGCAGGGCTTGCCTCCAGTGCCCTCAGCGTCTTTGAGATGGAGCCTGGTAGTGGCAGCATGAGCTGGTTTGTGGACACAGCTGAACGTTATGCCCTTGCTGGCCGGCCACTGGCTGAGCTCTGTGACCACAATGCAAAAGTGGCTCGGGAGCTTGGCCGAAACCAGGTAAGTGTAGTTAGGCTGAGGGGAACCCAGGTGGGGCCATGACCTTGGGGCAAGGTCAGGGGCTCCTCCAACTGCTGCACCCAGACCCTGCCCTAAGTTGAGTGCTTAGCTCAGACACTGCCAACACCAACCCTCACCTGCTGCAATAACTGAGCATGCCCAGAGCCCCAGAGCAGGGCAAATACCAGTGCCATCTGGGGGTGCAGGTCTGGGGCATCATAGGGCTTAAGCCCTCTCTTCTAGTTCATTCTTGCTTTCAGACTTCCTCAGGCATCCGGTCCTGCAGAAGTCCACAATGCCTCTCATTACCTCTCTGGGACCCCAGGCTCATTTGTACATTGGCCGCTTCCCACATCTGCTTCCTTCTGTGCCCTGCAGGATGGAGGCTGGGATTTTTATCTTTTCCATGGGCCTTGGTTTCCCTACCTGGGGTGGGCCAGAACATTGGATCCCTGGGGCAGCTGAACTCTGAGGGTTCATGGTTCCATCCAGACAAAGGGGGTACCTGCATGGGGCACCAGGGACCCAGGACCCCGGTGAGTGACCAGTGCCCACCCTTAGGTGGCGCAGACGTGGACTATGCTACGGATTATCTACTGCAGTCCTGGCCTGCCCTCCACCAATCTCAACCACAGCGTAGGCAAGGGTAGCTCCTGTGGCCTGCCCCTTATGAACAGGTAAACCCCTAGTGGCGCTCCCCAGAGGGTGGGACTGCTAGAGCCCACCCACCCATCGGACCTCCCTGCCCCCAGTTTCAACCTAAAGGATATGTCTCAAGGACTGGGCAGTGAGACCCGGCTGGACCGCAGCAAGGGTGACACACGGAGCGACACAGTGTTGCTTGACTCCTCAGCCACGCTCATCACCAATGAGGGTAGGTTGGAGGGCAGGGGCTCACAGGGCATTGTTGGGAGTGGGTCAGTGCATCCCAGAATGAGCCTCCAGTGTAAATCTCTCCTCTCCTTCCTTCCTCCCTCATGGGCAGACAACGAGGAGACTGAGGGCAGCGATGTGCCTGCCGACTACCTGCTGGGTGATGTAGATGGTGAGGAAGACGAGTTGTACCTTCTGGATCCAGAACATACGCACAGTGAGTGAAAGGTAGAAGGGGCAAACCTGGGAAGTGGGGCGAGAGGCTCAGACCCTGCCTCTCCCACCCCTGCTTTGCAGCTGAGGAGCCTGAGTACGTGCTGCCCCAGGAGGCTTTCCCACTGCGCCACGAGATTGTGGACACGCCACCGGGCCCTGAGCACCTGCAGGACAAGGCTGATTCACCCCATGTGAGTGGCAGTGAGGCAGATGCAGCTTCTCTGGCGCCAATGGACTCCTCCTTCTCGCTCATCTCTGTCTCACACGCACTCTACGATAGTCGCCTGCCACCCGACTTCTTCAGCGCCCTGGTGTGTGACATGCTGCGCTTCTATGCTGAGCAGGGTGATGTGCAGATGGCTGTGTCTGTGCTCATCGTGCTGGGTGAACGCGTACGGAAGGACATCGATGAGCAGACCCAGGTGAGTGACCAGGCCTGGGGGTGGGCATCCCTGTACACCCCACCTGCATCCACACCCAGCATGCTGGGGTGAAACCTCAGTGTGCACATGACCCTGGCCTTCTGCTTCTCTCCTCTTCTCTCTGCACCACCAGGAGCACTGGTACACATCCTACATTGACTTGCTGCAGCGCTTCTGCCTCTGGAATGTGTCCAACCAGGTGGTCAAGCTCAGCACCAGTCGTGCCATCAGCTGCCTCAACCAGGCCTCCACCACCCTGCATGTCAACTGTAGCCACTGTAAGCGGCCCATGAGCAGCCGTGGCTGGGTCTGTGACAGATGCCACCGCTGCGCCAGCATGTGTGCAGTCTGTCACCACGTGGTCAAAGGTCTGTTCGTGTGGTGCCAGGGCTGCAGTCACGGGGGCCACCTGCAGCACATCATGAAGTGGCTGGAAGGCAGCTCCCACTGCCCCGCGGGCTGTGGCCACCTGTGCGAGTACTCCTGATTGGCCTGCCCAACCCCGGGGCAGGAGGGGGCCGGGGCTTGTGAACCAAATAAAGAAGCGGGAGCCACAGTCTGAGGCTGCCTGTCACCCAGTCGGTTGCGCTGCTGGCTGCCCTGTCCTTGCTCTGGCGGGGCGGGAGGCAATGTAGCCGTTGGAGCTGCCAGATGTTGCTAGGAGCTCTCCGCAGCCTTAGTTCTACTTTCCGGAAATTCCGCCCCTTTGGGGGCGGGCCAAAGGAGGCTGCTTCCGGGAGCCGTCCAGACACCCCGGGTGTTGCCACGACGACGGAGCTTCCGGTTTGCCTCGCGGCGGCTGGCTCATGGCGCCCAGGGTGCGGCTGCTCTTGTTCGTGATCTGGACGCTGGCGGATCCGGTTCGGCTCGGCTCCGACTCGGAGGGCGATGGAGGGTGGTGAGCGGC